GAATATTCAGCAAGTATGATTAAAGAATCAAAAAAATTCAAATTTTCCGCTAAAATTTATCTATGTAAAGTAAGAATAACGTAAGTAGGCTTGTCTGCGACCTCTGAGAGGTCAACGATGCCGGTCTCGTCTGGGGCCTAGATTCCGGTCGTGACAATTATCACTAATGTCTCCATTATATTATGTGGATGACCGATCTAAATCATAGAAAGACTAAGTTGTTTATTTAAAAATTGTTGTTTGCATTTGTTTTGAACTTACTTTGATAATTTTGCTATTCATATATGTAAATATCGTGATATATGAATGTACAATGTGGTAATTTAATGGCATAAAACATGCATCATGGACACATTCAAATCCTAAAATCATAAAATCAAGGTGGTCAGTACATTAGACACTCTTTTTGATGAATCTTCTTCTGAATTCTTCATAAGAAAGAAACAAGTCAAACTGAAGGCACTACTAAGAATAAGGTACAAGAGATGGTTTATGTTAGTTTATTGGAATTATTATATTTGTTCACTTCACTTACATGTAAGCATACTTAATAGGTGCAAATTCAAGGGGTTCAAATTGGATGTGTAATTAATTTGACTGAAACAACAAGCATAACTGCTTCACCAATTACAGTAGCAACAACCGCAGCTGCTTCACCAATTTCAGCAGCTGCAAACACAACCAGTTCTCCAAACACGCAGCTACAAGCAGAACCACTTCACCATTTACAGGAGTAAAATCTACAACCATTGTATTTAGCGAATCAGTTGTGCCTTTTGCTGCAGTAATTGGGATCTAGAGTAGTAATTCTTCAGAATTCTAGAGTTGTTATTTAACTCTTGAAATCTAAGTTTTGACACAGATATTGGGAAACAATATGCATTTACTAAGATTAGGTAAAATACTATCTAAAAATAGATCATACATTTAAGAATTATTTTTGGAGGACATAAAAAATACTTTAAGTATGAGCATTAAATTGGACACCATGTATAGAGAGGGAAATAGAGAATCCAATTCAGTGGTGGAAATTTAAGGAACAAACGAAGGGTTTTTTATAGTAGGTTTGAGTTATTTTTGTTGAAATTAATGCATTCACATCTGATGTTTAGTCTTTCAATATTGTCTCTTCATTTTTCAAGTAGTCTTTTATGATTTTATAATACGTGTATCTAGTTAATTGTTCAAGACTTTTTGTTTTCTAATATGAGTAGTATAAATAGTCATTTAGTCGATGGTTGTAATGATCTAAAGTGATCTTAAGTAGGTTATATAAAACTTTAGTATTCTCCAACAATAGTATTCTCCTTCTATATTTCCCACAAATTGATATGAAAAGCAGATTTTCGTTCTTAATTTGGGGTACACATTTAAAACAAAAATCCAATAATTTTCTTAAAGTTTGAATAATTAATTTATTTTGAACTTTGAAACAGGTTAAGTGACGAAGACTGCTATAATTCATAAAGAGATATTGTCTTAGCCAAGGAATTCTTAATGCTAAGATAGAGACACAATTACTAATTCTCAGGAATATACTCACAAATGTTTGAAAACCACCATGAAAAAATCATACGAGGAGTCGAGATGATCAAACAAATGATTTAACAGTTAAAAATTGAGATTATAATGTTTTCATCAAAGGAAATAAGCTAGCAGTTTTACAAATCTTGCTTTCAAGCAAAAGGATACTATATACTTTCAATATTTTTAGTCGATACCATTTATGCAAAAGAGAATAATTAATTCATACAAAACAAAACTTTCCTACATAAGAGTCAAGAATAGACAGATTAAGCAAGGATTTAAGAAATACGAAAAAGGAGAAATCGTGTCCGTTTTGTATATTTCTTCTTTTTCATATTTGTTATATCTTACATGTTGAGGTATCCTTCTACTCTTGACTCTGACGTAGGAAATCATTGTTCTTTGAATGAATTATTCTCTTTTCCATTAATGGTATCGACTGAAAATCTCGAAAGTTTATTGCATGTCTTTTGCTCTCGAAAGCACGATTTGTAAAACTGCTAGCTTATTTCCTTCTCTAAACACATGTATAATCTTAATTTGTAATTGCCGAATTACCTTACCGATTTTCTCTACTCCTTTTATGATTTTTTCATGTAAGTTTTCAAACATTTGAGAGTATATTCTTGAGAATCATAATGTTTGTCTCTATGTTTGAATTTAAGAATTTCTTGGCTAAGACAATATTTCATGGCTCTATAAATTACTGTAGTCTATGCCATTAGACTTGAAGCTTCTCCGATCTATCCTTCTTAGGCGTAGATTAGATCTCCAATATCATTCCTTAAATAAAAAAGTATGAGCTTATATATCATGAATTTTTTTTATATGATTCATCTATGTGTATTTGGTTATAAAAACATAGTCTAGGCTCTTGTAATTTCTCAAAAAAGGAACAAGTGTTGTCCCTGTTGGTGTTAAAGATAAGCAGAGGTAGTTGAGTTATAAATTTTTATACTTGTTGTAGGTTAGGACATACAGTCTATAGTTTTTTTTTTTTCAAAATCCCTCATACTTGACCACCTTAAGATTTATTTACCATTGTATTATCATATCACATTTTATACTATTCATTAAATGGATGAATTGCAACAAAAAAAAAAATTGTAGACGTCATGGGATTTCTCTTCTATTATATTTGTACTATTAACTCTTTGTCTCTTATTATTGCACAATGATTTTTTTATTGTTCCCTCTCAATAAAAGAGATGATATACATGAGGTTGTTGGAATTATATTCTAAAAATATAGTCCAACTCACGTTAAAGAAATTTTAAAATGGATTTAGAAGACTTAGGTAAGAATCTATGTTAAAAAAGAAATTTCTAATGGTATTTTTTTTTTTGGCATAGTAGCTACATGTTCCATGAATATGCAGTAGATGTGATCTTCTCAGTAAATTTAGATGTGTTTAAGTTCAATGTATTTGTGTTAGAGTTTGTGAGTTGCAAGAAAAATAGAGTCTATCAAGATCACAACCTAAACCTTCTCGGTCACGTAAACAATGTATACTCTGTAATATACAACACACATAACTCACTATTTCATCATAAGTCACAACTGATAGAATTTCCATAATCTAAATTACTCCAACATGCATGGAAGTTTAGCAAAGAAGATAGGTCCTTGGAACTAATATATGTGTACAACATTGTCCTAAAGATAGAAAAAACATGTCTTATGTTTTTTGTGATGTTAGGCCATGAAAATTTTACTGTCATGGAAAGAATTTAATTCAAAGTCAAAATGTTAGATCCTCGATAGAGTACTCTGTAATAATTATCAAAATTCTAACAGAATATTATTTTAATTTATTAAAAGTGTGAGGTACAGGAGAATCTATTAAGGTAAATGCACAACATTCTCATTTAGATTTATGTTGAATAAAAAAATCATTAATGAGTATTTTAGTTCAACGGTAACTTCAAAAATAAGGAAAGAGTTTAGAGAAAGCTAAACAAACATAACATAGAACTAGTTTAACTATTCAAATTTCTTGATGCATCTCTTAATAGAGGAGAACCCTTTTCTCAATTTGTTAAACTTCATAATTATTGTTCATTGGCCTTTGCCCTTTACACTTCCATGTAAATACCTTGAGCAAAATATTAGATATTCTTAAAAAATATACCCTTCAGGTTGATTTCTATTATAAACATAACATTTCAATATGTGTAAAGATCTTTATGATATAACATGATATCATTCAAACTTCTTCTTAGCATGTTAAATTAACAAGGTACATAAAATTAAATTAAATCTATGCATTAAAAACATGCCTCTCAATTGGATACATCCACCTATTCTGTACAAGCCCACAAAACTTAACCTTTCTGCGAAGATGATTGACTATATGCACCATAACGTCAAAAAATGCTGGTTGAAATATTTTATTCTAATTTACTCAGTGTTGTTGGAATTTTCCTGTAGTGTTTTCAAAAACAATTTATTGAAAAATATGCATAACTCGGTGATATCATCAAAGACCTTACTTGGCACGTCTCGGAGAATTCCAAGAGGAAGTAGTTGTATTAATAAAATATGTGAATCATGTCTCTTAATCCATTAGTTTACGATCATCTAACTTCATCCACCATCATATATTGGAAGAATGACCATTTGAAACCTTAACTACTTTCAAGAACTTGTGTACTTTAGACTTCTCATCTAGTGATAAAGAATAGCATGTTTATAAGTAATACTATCTCCCATCGCTATAAGTTTGATAGAAAATGAAGGGCTGATATCATAATTTCAAAGCAATCCTACCAGTTTGCGGGCAAAACAACCACGAAATAAAATAATTCAACCTCATTCACATAGAAGTATAGTTTCTTTCTTGAGTTTATGTTATGCATATCATTAATGTATCAACAAGTTTATATTACATCTTCATGGAAATTAGGCCATTATTATCCTTCGATAAAATTTAAGTAGAAATTTTTAATCATGTTCTCTAATTTGTGGACCACATCTAGCATTATTACTAACAAGTTCCTACACAAGCTCCACCTATTATATACCCCATCGCTACATTTTTACTTGTTCATTGTTGACTTGACATGCGTTTTAAGGAGAAACAAGATAATCACTACATTCCATTATAGTAGACAGTAGAGTATACTTCCCGACTAAATCAAAGAATCTAGCTGAGATGTGTCATAATCTAGTTGAGATATTCCATAACATATATACTTTGACTAGATTCTAGTATGTCTGAGGGTGTAACCAAAGCTTAATGCCTCTATATAGAGGATCGTAATAGATGAAGAAATTTAGATTAATTTATTTCCATTTTATATGTATAATAATATAAATTTAAACTTTCAATTCACTACACCATTTTAGGCCTATGGCCACACTAAATCTAAGTAACGCTTGAAAAGTGTTGCGTAAAAATTTTTTGGAGAGAAATTTTCTTGAAGGAGAGATTCCTCGAGAAATCGGTGATCTTCGTTACTTGACGATCCTAGACCTGCAAATTAATCAACTTAGTGGCTCTATACCACCATCTATTTTTAACATTACTACAATGCATGTGATTGCTCTTACGGACAACAATCTTACTGGAAATCTTCCTATAACTATATGTGATCATCTTCCAGACTTGAAAGGACTTTACCTCCGTAAAAACTCCCTAGATGGAGTTATTCCACCAAACCTGGAGAAATGCAGAAAGCTTCAAAAATTGGAATTGGGTGACAATGAGTTTATTGGAACTTTACCAAGAGAGCTAGCTAACTTAACAGCTCTTACATATTTATATATTTCAGATCTGCATTTGAAAGGTAGTATGAAATTTTCTTCTTTTTCTCTTTTCCAACCAAACTTGGAACTCATGATATATTTCCTGAAAATTGACAGGTGAGATACCAATGGAGTTCGGTAATCTTCAGAAACTTCACGAGTTGGATTTAGCACACAATGAGCTAACTGGCTCTGTTCCTCACAACATTTTCAACATGTCAGCACTGCAGAATATAGATTTTGGAGAAAATAAGCTTTCAGGTACTCTACCTTCAGATTTAGGTCGTGGTAGAACAAAATGTTTATATGGGAGTAGTGTTTTTCTTTATTTATTGTAGTCTATTTGAATATTTTTTTACTAAACCTGATTTTAGGAGCTTGTATGTTTTCTATATTAAGCAATTTTTTATCACGTAAAATGCCTATATATTTCTACTTTCTGGCATCATGTTGTTGCAGGATCAATTAAAGACAGAACATAAAGAATTAGAAGACTAGCTACTTGAACCAGCAGCTACAGTTCCTACTGCTCCAGTTTCCTGCAGGGAAGCAAGCTGCTCAGCCCACTCCTTATAAGTGTACCCTCTTAGCTAAACTTCGTTATCTAGATCACTTGAATTTATCTTAGCTGAAGAAGATGAACTTGCTGAATGAACTTGCTTTTTTGTATGCACTAGAGATGCAGTCTGATGAAATTGTATTTAGATTTGGATTGGTTGTCTTACAGTGAATTCTCTCTGATTATGCACTTTCACAATTAATTCACAAACTTATAATTTTATTTTAAATGTGCAGGAAAATGCAGGTAATTGAATTTGAATTTGGCCAGAAGTAAACTCGATCTATTGTGGCAAAAGATGAAGAAATTTTTGTATTGTTGTCATATACGTTTGAATGACACTTTCGGGTTTTTGGAACTTGTTGATATTAGAGATCTTTACGCAATCACTTTCTAAGTTTTGATTGTACATGAAATATTTCTCGAAGTTTATTTGAAATATATAGCTTCAATTTAATGATTAATTAGTTCATTTTGTGTTTTAGGTCACTTGTATGTATGTAAATATATAATATATATTTGTGCTACATGTAGGTTTATAAACGTTGAAGTTACACTTTGTAAGTGTTGCTGTAGGTAAATAAAAAGTTACACCTTGAAAGTATTGCAATAGATGAGATATAAAGTTACACTTTATAAATGTTACAATAGATGACCAGTAAAAGGCAACACTTTTTAAGTGTGACCAATAAATTTGAAAAGGCAACGCTTTTAAGTGTAGTCTAACAAAAAATAGGTGTTGCTAATGCACGTCTTCAAAGCGTGCCCTTATACCTATTTGGCTACGCTTTACAAGTGTAGCCAAAGATGACAACATTTAAAAAGTGTTGCCTAATGTCAAAGGTTACGCTTCTTTTGGGAAGCCCCTAAAAAGTGTTGCTGAATGTCCAAAAGTGTAGCCTTTTATCAAAGGCCACACTTTTTGCTAGTTTAGGCTACACTTACGTGGTGTTGTTGTAGGCCGAAAATGGTGTAGTGATTTTGCCTTTGCTGATGAATTATTTTAGGAAATTAATAGATTAAGTCACATTAAGAATGGATAAAAAGGATAAACCATCGCTGTCTTTAAACTATCTATAAACCATCAAATAGAGGATTTTTATCATGCTTAACATATGATAAGAAATAAAGTGAAAGTAAAGTTTGCAATAGAAGAGTGATAAACAAAGAGAAAATAAATTTACCCTTGATGCGATGACACAGGAGGAGATCAAAATGACGTTGAGCCTTGAGCTTTGAAAGACAAATTCAAGAGATGAAGGTTCCCTAGAGAGGCATGTTTTAGGATGATATAGATTTAACTTTGTCTCTCAAATTTAGTAATTTAGGGTTTTCCTTTTTTATATATACATTATACCAAATAGAGGAATTATGGTGAACTATCTCGGTCTATATTCTATCAAAATAAAACACTTTAGAAAGTCCTAAACCAATACACTCACACATTTATTTGGATTACAGGAGGTCCATGCTCCCACTGATGGGAGGATCAACTATGAATCATGTAATGAGGGAGACTATTTCAATAGAAGATATATTAACGGATTATAAAAGGAAGACTATGGATCCAAATATGCATATGACCAAGTTGTTTATTTTTTATGCATCTCTTTTATTTACATTAAAAGATCTTGAAGGTGATGCAAATGGGACTATATCGTTTAGATCATTTTCTTTTTGTATGGATGAACCTACTTAATAAATAAAATCCTTCCAATTCCAAAAAAAAAGGGTTTAATTGTACTTTGTTGGGATTGTTGTATATATGTCAAAGTTGTATAACATACACTTTTTCAACAAATCTAAATGTATAGTATTTATAATTATATTTTCCATTTTCAACTTTAATAAATAATACAAACAAATAATAATTCATGTTTTACTTGAAGGTCCTTTTTTCGACTCAATGTGAAAGGCTTCCTTAAATTAGCGCTACTTTAATCTACATCAATATTTTTTATATTATAATTATCATAATCTATTCCTCAAAAAAATTCCTCCGATGACCTTGCATTTTGTAGGGCTTTATTGAATTCAATTTTTCTTATCATATGCTTCTTTGTGTATTAATGTTATTTTTCCTGATTTTGTATGTTTACGTTTTGTTTCTTTATTTTATATTTGTTGTATGTATGGACGTAAAGTCCATGCTTATTTTTTTCTCCAAAATCCCTCATCCTTGCACACCTCAACTGCTATTTACGTAATTGTGTATTAGTATATCGCTTTTTTGTACTATTTATTATATGGCTGAATTGCAATTTTTTTTCTTTGTAGACGACTTGAGATTTCTCTTGTATTATTGTTGTACGGAATTTGAGATAATACGAGAAAATATATATACGCGAAAAACAAGACAACAGATTTACGTGGTTCACCAATAAATTGGCTACGTCCACGGGAAGAGAGGGAGCAGTTTTATTATGGAGAGGCAAAAACAGAATTACAAAATAGGGTTTGCCATAGCGTCTATACATATATAGTGCTAAGCTACGCCCTAACAGGCTTGGGCCCAACATACAGAATTGACAGAAAATTAAGGGCCCAATACAACAACATTGTATACCGTCAGCGAGACCCCCGTCCTTTCTGTTTGTAGCGGGTCCGATTCAAGGCATTCAACAAATCTCCACCTTGACTTGAATTCTCCAAACAGATTCTTCAGAGGCACTATGATAGTGTCAGGCCTCCCCCTCTTCCTCAGAGTTGCCCCGCAGGGCAATTAACAGCTTCTGATGTTGAGCAAGTCCAAACAGTGTTGAAACTTGCTTTGTGGAACCGGCTTTGTGAACATATCAGCAGGATTATCAGCAGTTCCTACTTTCTTCACCTTGATTCTCTTCTCACTTCTCCGAAAATGATACCTTACGTTAATATGTTTGGTTCTCTCATGATGGACTTGATCCTTGGCTAGACAAATTGCGCTCAAACTGTCACAATACACCGTAGCCTGATCATGATGCAGACCAAGATCACTAACCAGCCCTTTCAACCAAATCCCTTCTTTTGCAGCCTCTGTCAAGGCCATGTACTCCGCTTCCGTAGTAGACAAAGTCACTGTAGGTTGCAATGTTGCCTTCCAACTGACGACAGATCCTCCAAGGGTAAACACATAGCCAGTCATCGATCTTCTTGTGTCAACATCTCCAGCATAGTCTGAATCAGAATAGTCAGTAACCAAGCACTGAGTATCACCTCCATAAATGAGACCAACGTCAGATGTACCTCTAAGGTACCGGAAAATTCTCTTCACAGCCTGCCAATGTTCTCTCCCTGGTTGTCCCATGAATCTTCTCACTACACTGACTGCATGTGCTAAATCTGGCCTTGTACAGACCATAGCATACATCAAACTTCCTACGGCACTGGCATAAGGGACTCGTGACATACACTCCTTCTCTTCTTCTGACTGTGGAGAGAACATGGCAGTGAGATGGATATTGGCAGCACTGGGGGTATCAATGGGCTTAGATGAAGACATGCCAAACCTCGCCAAGACCTTCTGAATGTAGCTTCTCTGTGACAAGAAAAATTTCCTTCTCTCTCTGTCTCTAATGATCTCCATCCCTAAAATCTTCCGAGCGGCTCCCAGATCCTTCATCTCAAACTCAGCACTAAGTAAACCCTTCAGCTTCTGAATGTCATACTTCTTCTTTGCAGCTATCAACATATCATCTACATAAAGCACCAGATAGATGAATGAATCATCATTGAGCCTATTGTAGTAAACACAACAATCATATGAGCTCCGAGTATAGCCCAACTTCGCCATATAGCTGTCAAACCTTTTGTACCACTGCCTTGGAGACTGCTTAAGTCCATATAAGGACTTCTTCAACTTGCAGACGTGATTTTCCTTCCCTGGAACTTGGAAACCATCCGGCTGAGTCATGTATATCTCTTCCTCCAACTCTCCATGTAGAAACGCTGTCTTCACATCAAGTTGTTCAAGCTCCAGATTCTGATGTGTAACTATCGCTAGTAACACACTGATGGAAGTATGTCTGACCACTGGTGAGAAGATCTCATTGTAGTCCACTCCCTCTCTTTGGTTGAAACCTCTGGCAACAACCCTGGCTTTATACTTGACTCCTTCTGCTGGTGATATCCCTTCCTTCTTCTTGAAAACCCATTTGCAAGTAATAATCTTTCTCCCCGAAGGCTATATGACCAGATCCCATGTCTGATTCTGGTGTAGGGACTCCATCTCATCTCCCATAGCAGCAAACCATTTTTCAGAATCAGGACTTAAAATGGCTTCTTTGTAAGTAGACGGCTCAGATGTATCTACCTCTTCAGCAACCTACAGTGCATAACCCACCATGTCCTCAAAACCATACCTCGTAGGTGGCCGAACTCCAACCCTCCTTGGCCGATCTTGAGCTATACTCTGATGGATATCTGATGGCATAGATTTTGGAATATCAGTTTCTGTCTGTGGCTCTTGATCCTCCTCTTCAGGTTCCTTTAAATCGCTCTCGTTCTGAATGACTTGAAACTCCACCTGTTTGTCAAGACTCCCAGTTTCTGACGTAGTTGTAGGCTTCACAATGGTTCAAAGCAGAGAACTTTAATCAAAGACAACGTTCCTGCTCATAATAACCCTCTTTTCTGCTAGAGACCAGATTCTGAAACCTTTCACTCCATCTCCGTAGCCCACAAATACTCCCTTTTTAGCTCTTGGTTCTAACTTACCTTCACTGACGTGATAGTAAGCCGTACAACCAAAAGCTCTGATACCAATTTGTTGTGTGGAATTTGAGATAATACGAGAAAATATATAAACGCGAAAAACAAGACAACAGATTTACGTGGTTCACCAATAAATTGGCTACGTCCACGGGAAGAGAGGGAGCAGTTTTTCCTTACCACATCTCCATAGGTGTCTTGCACTGTATGCCTATATGTGGTCCGCGGTTAATCAAGTAGCAAGCTGTACTAACCGCTTCTGCCCAGAATCTTCTATCTAGCCCAGCATTAGAGAGCATGCACCTTGCTCTCTCCAGAAGTGTTTGATTAATCCGCTCAGCTACACCGTTCTGCTGTGGTGTATTTCTGACTGTATGATGTCGAGCAATCCCTTCATCCTTACAGAATTGATCAAATTCATACCAACAGAATTCCAGCCCAATATCAGTTCGCAACCTCTTGATCTTCTTTCCTGTTTGATTTTCCATCAAAATTTTCCACTCCTTGAACTTCTGGAAAGCTTCACTTTTATGCTTCATCATGTACACCCAAGTCATCCTTGAGTAGTCATCAATAATGGACACAAAAAGTCTGCAGCCTCCCAAAGACTCAACACGGCATGGACTCCAGCAATCAGAATGGATATAATCAAGTGTGCCTTTTGTTCTATGAATGG